GATGCATGTGCTATCTGTGCCTCTTGCATGATTGCATGATTACCAGGACTTACAGTTAGCAGCTTGTTTTTCACTCTGTGTCAAAGGTTAAACGAGCTTTCACGGGCAGATTGTCATTTGCTTCATTTACTTCAATAAAAATCAACCCTTTAACAAGTCCTGTCTTTCAAGAAGAGGCCACTGATTTGGCTCCCTGACAAGCCTATAGATTATATAACAGTGTTGGGATTCTCTTCACTGTGGCATGTAGAAAACTTGGCATGGTGCAGCTTGTGTCTAACGAAGCATGGCAGTGTTACTCTGCATGGAAAACATGTTTGTTACCAGAGACAGTCTGCTTATGCTGCCTTTGGAAAATCCCCAGGTTACAGTCAGAATTGATTGATTTGATTATTTAAAAATAAATAAATAAAAAATTGATAGTCAGGGTATGGATTACCACTTTATTGTTTGACCATTTGTTACTAGTACATTTTCATGTTATTGAATGGTTTGTTGTTATAATACCTACAATATGTGTCTGCATTTGTATGCCTGAGTGAAAAGCATTAATGCTTTAGTGTATATGGACAGCTGCAAGTTGATGTTATTCTCCACTTTACTTCAACTGTATGTGCTCTAAATTCAAAATGTGCTATGCAGCAGTAGTCATAATTGCCAGTGTTGTCAATAACAAACTGTAAATCCATTATCTTGATTATCTACCAAAATGACTCTAAAAAGGTGAGCAGTGCCATATTAACATATTACTCTTCAATGCACATTAAGAATTCCCTTTTAACAAATTACTTTCGCTTGAAACCAAACAACTTGATCTTGAGGACAGCTCAAACAGAACTCATACTGTATCAACAAACATTAATTGACTCAACTGTAATTTAAACAGATGCAAATCTGAAGAATTAAGGCAAGCTTTTAATTAGTAAAAAGAGACTCCTCTGATGTGTGTGACGCCTGGAGGAACTATAGAAACAGGATCCTCTGCATGGAAATGTGTTATAACAATTTATGTAGCTCATTAATATTCAATATTTATATAGCATGCAGATTTAAATTTTCGATGTAAAATGAGCAAGCCTAATGGCCATATTTACCACTGTAAATAAAACTGTATTGCAGGCATAATTGTCAATTATGCATATGGTGTAGGTTGTATCTCATTCTATGGTGAATACGGCACTAAAGTTTGCTGTCTTATCCAAGGTGTGGCCTTTTCTTCTTAATTGACAGTGTAAACTTGGAAGCAATGGCATTAACAAGGAAATTTTTCTACCTTGAATTCCTTTTGTAAAATCAACCTTAAGTTGCCACTTAAAATGAGACTTATTGGAAATACCATATTTAGTATTTCAGGGAAGCAAAAAGAAGAATCTCCTTCCATGAAAACTGTGCCTCTATATGCTCTTGTTTTTGACTGGGGGTGCAAGATGATACAAGCTGCATTACTGAATAGTGACAAGTGACGACAATATATCTTCCTCGTCCTCCTCCCAAGTATGTCTTTACTTCTAAACTGAGACTGCAATATCTCCTTTTTAAATGACAAAAATATTTCACTTCGTTGATGGTATCACAGGATGGATCATGTTACTCTAACCCTGATGTGCAGTTGTTTGCAGTATGCATTCACAATATCCTCACAACGCCTCTACATGCTGAAATTCTAGAAGTTAACGTCTACCACCTTCATGACCATCCCAAAGAGAGTAGGTAAAGTATCCAGAGTAAAGGTTATGTTTCAGATGCTTGGTGACTCTTGGTGTTGCAGCATAAGTCATCCAATTATTGAAAAAAAAAGTTTAATCGTTTTACACATTATTGCATAAATGGTGTGTGTGTGTGTGTGCGTGTGCTTTGACTTACTTACACCCCCTCAACTTATTATTCGTACTGCTACCATCTCGACGCAGATACAGGACCGTGGCC